CCGCGCTCGTCATTCTCTCAGTTATCTGGCCCGCTGTGAAAAAAAGTTTGGTGACCCCTGCTCTAAACTAAAAATATTAAATAAAATATCAGAGTTAGTTCTTACTTTTCTCATTCTCAAAAAATATAGTTATAGCCACCCTCATGATAAATATTATTAACAATGTTTTTATTTCATCGTATATATGAAAAATCCATATAATAATAATATACATATATATATTACTATTATTATATGATTGTTTTTAAAAACTTTATGAGAGGACGCGTTTAAAATGGAAAAGTGAAATTGGCGCTTAACCTGATGGTTAGCTTTGAGTCTCGAAAATGTATCTCAATGTGGAAATCAGGGTGCTGTGTTAATAATATACAATGTATAACGACGCCATGATTTTATTTAAAAATAATTATAGATTTGTTTGTTAAAGAATAAAAGTTTTTGTAAAAAAATATCTGTATTATGTAAAGCCTTTGCAATGTCTCGAGAAGGTGCTACACTTCAAACTTACAACAACGAACTCGTGACATGCAAGTTGAAACTACTCTTGCTAATTTTAATATTTTTATTCAACTTTTTTTAGCAGTGTAACTGGAAGTGAAAATTACAACCAGCAAAATTTCTTAATCACTATTAATCTTTTATTTTTATTAGTACAGTTATATAAAACCTTAATTATTACTTCACCTTAGGCTTACGAAATATATTTCACTTTTTAGTTATGCTTTATTACAAAGATTTTAGATAAAAAATGTAAATTGTAACATAAATATGGTTTATTTCTGTCCATCGGAATCGCAATCCTAAGGCTAGTGCTACTATTAGTATTATTTCACTAGGAAAATTTGTCAAATGTTACAATTTTCGTATTTTGTCTTTACACCCCACTCAGTCACTGTCAGACTCGATCATCAATGTTGATGGCAGAGGTAAAGGAATAGGTTAAATGTAAGAGAATTGGACGTGATTTTTGTGTTATGAAGATAATTCTTTTAATCTATAACACTAAAACATAGTAAAGGTCTTGCCAGTGAAATCTTTAAAACGTATGAACATACTGATTTTTGGTCAAAATAGGCTTAACGAAAAACCTATAGGTTTGAAGATAAACCTATAATTTTCAACCAAAATCATTTTCAATAAAGTTTTGATACTGTACAGTGTATTCGTGTTACCATAACTTTTCATTACAGACCTATGGAAATATAATGATTTTGCAGCATATGTATGTTGGAACCTATATTTGTTTAATGTTTATAAGGGGTTAATGATGAAAATATAATAATTTAGTTTTATTTGATATAATGCTATGACAATCAATGTTACCTTTTTGTTTATCATACATCATCCTACAGTTTTGGTGCTAAATTTATTATGCAAGTTATTATGCTAAAAACATTGTTCTATTCACTTTGTGCCGCATCTTTGAGAATAAGCTTATCATAACATTTAAGAAGAACAAAGGACATATTGGTCCATCTAAGCTGTCCCATCCACTAAACTATATAAAACTATAAAATTTAAAGCCAGCCATTATTATTCAAATATTTATCAAGCTTTCCTTTAAATTTACTGCTTCCACAACATCAGAACATAACCATTCCAAAAGCAAACTACTCTGTTAGAAAATAAAACTGTCTTAACTAAAAATGTCTCCCACCCTGCCAAAATTTATATTTGTGTTCCCTAATCCTACCATTCCCACCATTAAGTATGAAGAAAATGATGATGTGGTGTGTGTTAGGAGTTTGAATTCCTTAAGTTAAGTTTTATGGATCTGGTGGGTTACATTTAAGTTGGACTCGTTTCTTTATTGGATGGTGAGCTAACTGGTCTTCTGTCACTTAGTCCCTATTTTATTATCATGTCAAAAAGTTGAAATGGGAACTATTCAGAGAAAAAAATTCTTTAAGCCTACAAAGCTATTAAATTATTTTATGTATTTAGTAATGCTTGCAACAATAAATATTAATAAATAGGATCAGTAAGTTAAGAAAAATTAAAACATGACCAATCTGAGTTAAGAGGTGAATGATACTAAACTAATTTGTTCTGTTATAATGTAGGATTATGCTTTTGTTACCTTGTTCACATGATAGCTAAATATAAAACTTTTTTATAATTAATTATTAAGAACATTTTTATGTGGAGAATTTGTAAAAATATAGTAATTTAAAACATGTTTGTACATTCTTTACATGCTGTTTATAAAATTTAGGTATTGAAGAACTGTGTGCTAAGCGAGAAGAAATTCAACAACAAATCTCAGATGAAGAGAAGAAACGAAATAATTTACAACATGACATTCAGATGCTTTCAAACCAGCTGGCTGAGCTGAATGAGTCACTGTCAGAGAAGATAGCTGTTCGAGAAGAGTATGATAAGCTTATAAGAGAAACACAAGATGCCTACATGAAGGTAATTGTTTACATTTACAAGTATTTTGTCATAATACAAAAAGGAATTATTACATTTCATTGGTGATGTTATTATACAACCATTTATATTTTTTGTCCTTTTTTTTTGCTTTTATAAATTTTTAAATTCACAGAAATGAGATTAAGTACAAAACTTTCACAGTTTTATTCCATTTTTCCTGTAGTTATTTCTTAGAAAGTTTTTAGTATAGATATTTATCTATAATATTTGAATTCTGGAAATACAGTAATTATAAACGTTCATTATTAAAAGCAATTTTAAAGAAAAATCTTTGTACTAAAGAATTTATTTAGTGAATGGTAACTCATTTACTTAGATATTAAATATTTTCTTTTGATATAGGTAGGAATTGGTAAACATAAATTTGTGTTGACTGTATTCTGTTCTGTTCCTTAGATCCTTAAAAGTTCCCAAGCTCTACTTGGACTAGTAAAGACAGAAAGTTCAAAGCTGTCACAGAAAAACTTCACCGAAAAAGATGCAAAAGACAGTTAGAAATAAGTATGTAATGTTAAAAGCCTAATTAACTATTCAGAGGTTTTCTTTAAATATTTTTTTCTGGGAGAGAGATATTTGGTAACTCGTATTCAGCTGTATTTCCAAAGAGATGTTTTTACAAGTATATCTAAAATGATACAGTTATAAGAACACCTAGCTTTTTCACACTAAAAATTACCATCTGAGAATAAAACCCTTAAATTTGTAAGCAACTTAACTTGGGAACTGAGATTGGGGGTATACTCTACAGAAAGAAAACTCCTGATTAATATTATATTTTCATGTTTTTCTTTTCAAAAGTTTTTTATTCTATTTGTGAGAAAAATGGAATTGTATATTTTTTTCCCCATGTATTACATTTACAGTTTTTGTTTATTTCTGTGTGTATAGATGTAGTTATTTTATCCTAAAAAGCATTATTAATAAAATGATAAGAAAAAATTATATCTTAAAAGTTGTGTTCAAGAACCATTCATGAAATTCCTCGTATTATGACTCATAAAACATATGTAAATAAACTCTTAAGTTCTGAAATTCACTATGTTATTACAAATGTAGTAATAATTTTTTTATTATTATTTCAAAAACTACAAGAATGATACATTAATATTAAAGTTAATAGGAAACATAAGATTTAACAAAGCTTTTTTTTTCACATATTGTAGTATAAAACTTATTACATATTCATAATTGAAGTAGCTTACGTAAAGATTAATCTTATTCCTTAGAATGATTAATTTTCATATACGTGGTTAAATCTCATGAAACAAATTTGAATCTTACCTTAGTGATAAATAACTCCACTGAAGCCATCAAGACAGTGCTTTGTTATTAGTACTAAAGCTGATAGAACTTGATTTCAAGTAATTATCTCTCTCTGCAAATTACAGCCTCACTTACAATATTGTGTACAGTTTTGGTTTCTCATTTAAGAAAAGATATTAACTTTATGAGTAAACTGGAATGGACGGAAACTGCCTGTTGTAAAAAAAAAACAAGCGAAGAGGATGATGTTTTGAAAGTCTTCCATCTTTTGTCGACGAAAGGCAGAAGACTTTCAAAATGTCTTCTATACTTGTTTTTTTTTTTACAACAGGCAGTTGCCATTCATTCCAGTTTACTCATTATGAATACTTTACCTAAACATCCTGTCAAGGAATAAGATATTGACTTGTTTGAAAGGATTACAAGGATAAATTTGAAGATGTCAGGGTCATCTTATGGGAATAGGTTAGGCTTTCTTGAATTCTTTTCATTTAAGAAAAGAAGTTTACAGGATTTGAAAACAATGCTTTGAAAAGAAACAAATTTAAATTTGAAAAGACAGATAGATTCCAGTTAAACTTTTTTTTTGTCATCTAACAGAGTGATTAATTTATAGAATGAGTTGCCACTATCTCATCACAAGAGTTTAGGAGGAGAATTGATGATTTCCTGATGGGTTCATTAATTGATTACATTCAACTTATTGCTTAGTCTTGTGAAAAGGCAAAAAAAAGCAACAACAACAACAAAAAACATTAATTATTCTTGCATGAGTTGACTAGAAACAACAACTCTTAATGTTACAAATTGTTTTTTGATACCAGTAGTGGGTACTTTGGGCTAAACAACAAACAAACATAATTGGTTTGCTTTCTTTTGAATTTTGTGCAAAGCTTCACGAGGGCTATCTGCACTAGCTGTCCCAAACTTAGCAGTGAAGACTCGAGGGATGGTAGCTAATCAACACCACCAACTCCTGGATTATTCTCTTGCCAATAAATAATATGATTTACCATCACATTATCACATCCCCAAGGCTGAAAGGGTGAGAATATTTAGTTACGGGTAACGTAACAAGAATATTTCAATTACTTGGATAGTTGGAATAATTGTGAATAGTAATTGGAAGCCAATTTCGATTATTTTTGCAACATTAATTAATTAGGTTTTAATTTCGAATAATTGATATAATCAATATTCACGAGTAATCAAGTTAATCATCCAACTATAGTCATATCGTGACATAAATCACATATGCTTCATTTTAGGTATTTATAGGTGTATACATTTATGTCCGTGAAGATTTAATACAGTAATCTTAAACAATTGGAAGAAGGAAATTTCAAATATCATAGAAAGATACATAAACATTATTATACAGAATACCATTTTATATATTATATGATCTATATAATTAAATAGTATAAATGTTTCAGTTATAAAACCCATTGATTTTCATGCATGGTAGATACTTCTGGATCTCAAGTGTTTTCTTATAGGGAATCTGTGTCCAATCTTTGAATCCTGGCTCTCCTGGAAGAAAGATTAGGAAAATATGAGTTATAAAATCAATGTGTGTGTGGCCAAAAACTGTACATTTCTGATGATGGTTCATGAATCCAGTCCAATCCAAATCCTTGACAGTAATTTAGGTTTAAAATTTATTAAAGCCTCAAAACAAAAAGGGATGTTAGGGCTATGGTTCATGAAGTGTTCTTTATTGATTTATAAAGTAACCTATATGGTCATGATTTATCAAGAATTTTTTACAAGATATACTATCTTAAACAATCATGATTAATAAAGTACCTGTTGCAATCCTGATTTGTAAAACATACTTATTGTTTTATGAAGCAACCCATAAAGTCATGATTTATAAAGTGTACCCCTTACGACATGATCTACAAAGTGCCTTTTACTGATTTATGAAGTAACCCATAGTCATGATTTATAAAGTGTACCCCTTACAACACGATGTACAAAGTGCCTTTTACTGATTTATGAAGTAACCCATAAAGTCATGATTTATAAAGTGTACCCCTTACAACACGATGTACAAAGTGCCTTTTGCTGATTTATGAAGTAACCCATAAAGTCATGATTTATAAAGTGTACCCCTTACAACATGATCTACAAAGTGCCTTTTACTGATTTATGAAGTAGCCCATAAAGTCATGATTTATAAAGTGTACCCCTTACAACATGATCTACAAAGTGCCTTTTACTGATTTAGGAAGCAACCCATAAAGTCATGATTTATAAAGTGTACCCCTTATAACACGATGTACAAAGTGCCTTTTGCTGATTTATGAAGTAACCCATAAAGTCATGATTTATAAAGTGTACCCCTTACAACACGATGTACAAAGTGCCTTTTACTGATTTATGAAGTAACCCATAAAGTCATGATTTATAAAGTGTACCTCTTACAACACGATGTACAAAGTGCCTTTTACTGATTTATGAAGTTACCCATAGTCATGATTTATAAAGTGTACCCCTTACAACATGATGTACAAAGTGCCTTTTATCGATTTATGAAGTAACCCATACAATCACAATATATGAAGTACCCCTCACAACATATCAAATATAATCATGATTGATAATATACCCGTTAAAACATATCAAATATGATCATGGTTGATAAAGTACCCTCTTGTAATCGTGATTTGTAAGGTATCCCTTGTAGAACTTATTTTTATAATATCCTAAAATAAGTCATATTAATCATTTCACAGCAGGTGTGGATGACGATACTAAAAATCATGTCTAAAACAACGTTTGATATCAGCTGTTGTTTGGTATAGGTTAGAGGCTACCTAGCTGCTGTTATCTCTTTTTAAAGGCCTGGCATAGCCTAGTGGGTAATTCACAATCTGCAGGTCCCAGGTTTGAATCCCATCACTGAATATGCTCACCATTTCAGGTGTGGAGGCATTATAATATGATGGTCAATCTCACTGTTTGTTGGTAAAAAAAGTAGACCAAGAGTTGGCGATGGGTGGTGTTGACTAGCTGATTTCTTTTTACTCTATCACTTTCAAAACTAGGGACAGCTAGTGCAGATAGCCCTCTAGTAGCAAAATTCAACAAGCAAATCCTTGTTAAAATATATTTTGAGATACTTATAATTAGTCATGAGGTGTTACTTCAAACTGTAGCAGACAGCCTGAGCTCTCCATGACTATGTTGCTGGGCTGCTGTTATACACCTTTTTTTTATTGGAAGCAACTGTTGGACCAGTAAAGAATTACATCATTAAAAGTTTTATTGTGAAATAATATGTTTATTACCATCTAATTATTTTGAAACGTTTATTCATTCTCTAAATAACACCTGTAATTTTACGTTTATCTAATCTGTTTCATAAAACATTCAACAGCATAGATTGAAACAAAATTAATCATCTTATGTTGCTTTTTTAACTGACACAACAGTCCATAAAGTATTTTATTTTGTCCCTCTGGTGTGAAGTTATCAGTTTTAAAACAGGGTAGTTTCAACTTAATTGCATAATTGGATATACTTTGGAATAAACTTGCTTTTAACTTAGTATCTTGACATGAACTGTTGTCTTACAAAAAATTTTGGTAACTTTTCACAAAAAATAAAATAGGTAATATTACAAATATCTTTGTGGTAGTAGCATATTAATAAAATGTTTAACTATATTATCATCTAAACATAGAGATGTGTGTGAAGTGTTTTAAAAAAACTATGAAAAAAATTATCGAGTATCAACAAATGATATTTAATTTATCCCTTTTGTGCTTCTTGAAATGAGTGTGACATTTAATGAAATGTGATATATGTAGTATGTGTTATACTGTTGTTAGTTCATTACTTACCTTGGTGGATTAATATTTTGTTACCCTTGACTGTAGGCCTAAGATTTTCTTTTTAAAAACTCACTATAAGTTACTTGAATGCTGAACATAAAGGAACAGATAAGTTAGGATTACCGTAATAGCGTGTCCACAGGAGTTGAACGTCTTTCAGTGTTTAACATCGGTGGTATGTTTGTGACCAGTGGAGTTTTGTACGTTTCAGCCGGTGTTTTTTGTGTGGACACATTACGGATTTCTTGGTCTTGTTCGCTGTGAATCTGCATGGTTTTACAATCAGAAGGTGTTTCCGGCACTGTTCTTTGACGTGGTACACTTGGTACTTGGTCGTTTAACTTAGCATAAGCTTCAGTAAAACCTGATGAATTGAGCGTTTCCGATTCAGAAGAGTCTTCATCTTCGTGGTGTCTTTGTGATTTACACAAAGTTGAAGGTGTATCCTTTTCTTTAAAGCCATTACTAACTTGTGCTACCAAGGAAATTGTAGATGGCATTTGGATTTTTCCTAGAATACCGGAGTCTGTCAGAGAAAGAGATGTATCATCTGTGGAGGGGCTATTATCAACTGGATCAACACTCCCCTGTTCTTCTGAATTATCCATTTGGCTGCTGTATCCAATATTTTGAGATGAATCAATCTGTCTGCTATGAAGGAGTGCGTGTTCCATCTCATTTGTGGGAAACATCATTTCTGATGTCGGTTCAGGATTTGCAATTTTAGGATGGTAATTTTCTGTATTACTTTTTCCTGCTTCTGTCTGTTTAGGATCACCAGCTCTGGTTAAACCTGTGAAAAAAATAACTCTTTGAAAGAAAAAGTAATGTATGTTTCTAAATTGGAATATACACACAACAGTTGATTATTTATAGGTAAGTATAACACAGGATGATGCATGGTATTTATTTTATAGTAGAAGTATTGTTTTAAAAATTACTTGCATTTTGTTTTTTTAATTTATCACAGAGAGGGCGCTGTAATACTGCTAATTTTCAATGTTCATACTAGGGTAAACCAAGGAACAGGTAAATTGTTCAGCGGTATTGTATAAATAATAAAAAAATCGTTGTTTTAATTAATGTATCGTTGATTATAAAGAGTAAACTGATTGGGTTGATGAAATTAAATCCCCGTTCTGGAGCTGTTGATTAGTGTGTTTTTTGTTTTTTTACAAAACACGCTTTGAAATTAAAATGTAAATAGACTCGACACCATTTTGATTGTTAATAAACAAAGATGTTTCTCTACAGTCTGTTTGTGTGTATCTCCGTATCATTTCGAGAAAGAATGAAGAACCGTGTTATCAAAACACTCAGAAACTGTTTGAAAATGCATAGGTTTCTTGGAGAAAATAACTTCCTAATTCCTAACTATTTTGTTTGTTAAACCACCTGAGATACCCACTGACACCCAAACTTCCATTATACACCTGCTTACCATATCACGAAACAGTTAGAAACTGTTGTTTTAAGATCGAGGTTTAGTTATATTAATTAATAACTTGAAATTATCAAAATTAACAAGTTATATGTATTGTTATAACGTTTAAGATGTCTGATCGCTAAACTGAACAAGGTAAAAAATTTCTAAAAAACACTGAATACTTGCTTGTGCGATCTGTGCTCCGTTGGTGAGTCAGTTTTCTGTTTTTATTGACACCCTTGTCGGCGGGATGGCTGATAGTAATGACGGGTACGTCTTCGGTGTCCAAACGTTCTGTCTCTCTTCTTGAGGGCTCCTCTGGGTCCTTAACGTCTGTTTTCTCATCTCTTAAGATTAACATATTAAAAAATATCAGACATTCATTCCTCTTAAAAGAGTTAAGTTATTTAGAAAACAATATGATAAATCAGGCTTATCATTAAGTTGTAAACTCCTTTGTTAGGATCCAATAAAAAACAGACAATATTTTGTTGAAAGTAACCAAGGGAACAAGCAAACTCTTCAGTATATCAAACTTCTTTTTAAACATTTTTTTTTTTTATGGTTAACCCAAACTCTTTCATGTGGCATAGCAAATTTGTTTTGTTGTGTTTTTTGAGGGGGAGCGGGTATAAATTTTCTGGATATTTATATGAATAACGGACACCTATACATAGTTCATAATATTTACCTGCTATTATAGCACGTTTCAGGAGCATCAACAGGATTTTCCTCAGATGCTAAAGAATATTTCACGTGCCTTTTGACTCTTGTTTCTGAAATAAATAAACAAACACAAATTTCTAATGATACTACTAATCGTTAATGAGTTATATTCTCGTTATCAGTCGCGTATTTTAGTTGGTTTGTCTAACCGTGATGAACAAACAAAGAATATTATACCTGGTTTGTCTACTTAACGAAATTACAGCAAAGAACAAAAATCATGAACATGTCATTTTAACGAAACTGATAAGCAAAGCCTTGGCATTCCTGAATATTCACATAACATTTAATAATTGCAGTAATACAGTTAACATTCTTAACCATTCATTACATATCGGTGCCCGGCATGACCAGGTGGTTAGGGCGCTCGACTCGCAATCTGTAGGTCGCGAGTTCGAATCCTCGTCACGCCAAAACATGTTCACCCGGTGTCCGGACTAGGACAGATGTCCTACTCCAAAAGAATTTGGATGTGTGAGAAACATCATACGCAACTAATATTCCATATCAAAAACTGGATCTAAAATACTTTGTGAGTGAAAGCGTGAAATTGAATAATCGTGTTTATTATAGAAACCATTCATTCTATATCAAAAACTGGATCTAAAATACTTTTTGTGTGAAAGCGTGAAATTGAATAATCGTGTTTATTATAGAAACCATTCATTCTATATCAAAAATTGGATCTAAAATACTTTGTGAGTGAAAGCGTGAAATTGAATAATCGTGTTTATTATAGAAACCATTCATTCTATATCAAAAACTGGATCTAAAATACTAGGATTAAACTGTTACATTTAATAATCGTAATGGTGTATTGTTCACTGACGTCTGATCTTGACGTTTCGTGCATATATGTGTTTACTTATGTTTTTTCATGATGTGTGTGTGTTTACTTACATTTCTTCATGACGTTGTGTACTCATGTGTGTTTACTTATGTTTTTTCATGATGTGTGTGTGTTTACTTACATTTCTTCATGACGTTGTGTACTCATGTGTGTTTACTTATGTTTCTGG